AATGGCCCATTGTGTTACCACATTTATATATCGTTCAATTATCCACCCTGTTGAACCACTTCGTGTCGCTGAGTAATCTCACTAGGCATCTTCGGCGGTATTTGAAACCTTCCGAAAGTCGGCCAGTAATGGTGAACTCAATTCAACACAGTGCTAGGCATTTACACAAGACTTGCAAGACTGTTTCCTCCTCTTCATAGTCTTTAGAGCTTCTGTAACAACTTCGGAAAGGCATGACGAGCATTTCTGCATGTCTACCTATTAGACAGGGCCCGGTTAGAGACTCCACAATGTTTGATATATCATCTCTTCTAAGATATTATGCCCTTCGTGACCGCCTTCGATCCCATTTACAAAATACAAATTCACTAAGTACCAGCTTACAAGTGTGAAAAGGCATACGCGAAATGCGTTCTTTACCGGGAAGAATTTACATACTTCATTCGCCATGCAGTTTTCCCTTAAGGCCCTAAGGCCAAGGACCCAAGTGAGCTGAAATGTGCTCTACTTGGTCATATCCTGTAGTGATAGGCGGAAGTAGAGAGCAATCTTTGAGTAAAAGGTGAAAAAGCTGAGATTTTTGATTGCAGCTTGGCTATCACTAAAAATGAAGACGTCCCTTCTCATCATCTCGGTTCCAAGATTCTCAGCAGTCTCCATGATAGCTGAAACTTCAGCTTGGAGTTCGCTGCAGTAGCCAGGCAACCTAAAAGAGATTTTTAGAGGAGGGTTTGGTGAGAAAACGCACCTTCTAACCTACGGTCGAGTTTCAAGCAATCTGTGTAGATATCAATAATATCGGGTGGAGTATTAAAATCTTTTTTCCACTCCTCCTTGCTTGCGATTCTTGTGCAAGAGTTGCTTTACGGAACCGATGTCGAAGCGCGAAATTTATTTCATTTACATTTGGATGCCTATCTTAAGTGAAGAACAGCGAGCGCTGCCTTCTGCTGTCCTGCCAAATCCAATGGCAGAAAAACTAAAATAGCATTCAGAGCATCGTTTGGCGTTCCGCTTATACAGATCGTATTTGACCTTTGTACCTTGGTGAGTAGCCTGAGGTGGATATCTTTAATAAGGGCCACCATACGACCAATCCATACCGGAGCATTGGTCTTATGACTGCTATAAATATCCTTCGACAAATATGGGGACTAAGACCCTATCTCTTGCCAATGACGAACCCTCATGTTTTTTTTTTTTATAAATTTGAGATTTCAAATACTTTAGATTTTCTTCAGTATTTCATAAGTTCTGTTCCACAATGCGCTGGACCACAGCTATCCAGCATACATACATCCTTCGGCTAATCCCCTGCGGCATTGACTGCGCACCAAACCCAGAGCACCAAACTGCCTATTGTTGGCTTTGCAAATTCACCTTTGTTGTTGCTAATTTGATTTTTGTTTTTTTGCTCAAATATTTCATTTTCTTTTGTTGCACGCATATCTGCAACGGACAAGTAACAACTTGTTTTGCCAGGTGGTCGCTTAAGCAGCTAGTTGATCGGCTAGATGGCTGGTTGGAAGGTACATACATATGTAGCACTAAGTATATGTATGTATAAGGTACCCTGCACCAGTTGTTAAGGAATTTATGGCAAAATACCCTCACGACGAGTGCAAACAAAGAAAACCAACCTGATCAGGGGTTGTTTTGTTGATCTGCTACAGTTTTGGCTTAAGCACAAACGCGCTACTTTTTCATTTACTGCTCCGGCTTCCTTCGCCATAATTGGCAAATGCGCAAAAATTTCAAGTTTGCTCTGAATTTAATCGTCCTTACTCCGTACTGAGTAGTGAGTACATATTTACTTACGAACGATCCTCCTTACCTGCGCGCCGTTCACTTGCAACATTCCCGTTCGTTCGCCTTTTCGTCGCGCTTTGCTTTAAGATCCTGAAAATTCTTGACTCTTTTTACTGCGCAGTTTTCTTGCTAAATTTTGGCTTCCTTTTATTCCTAAGCGCCTGCGCATAGTGTTCCATTTGCTTGTGATTTATTGTGCTGATTGTGATATGCGTGGCACATTCACTTTATCTTGTGGCGCTTCAAATGTTCAAACGGGTGACACCGGTCTCCATGTTGCTACCTACATATGTATGTATATGTGTTCCCTTTGGTATTAGCCTCAAAAGCAATGGACAGCATCTAATTAAGGAAATGTAGCGTATCGAATAAATTGGTGAGGAACTGGGTGGAGTTTTTTCTCCATTGCAGCAGACTTGCCAGTGAAACGGGGTAGAAAAGTCTTCTACATTTTACTCACAAATGCGCAGTTGTTTGGCGAGTTTTAAAATCGAACTTCAACTCCTTACAGCTGCTGATTTTAGACACAAAGTTTGATTTTAAGTTCGCAAAACAAATTTTACATGAGGCTTGAGGTTCAGGATAGCTCAAATATGTATCAAAGGTCCTGATTTCCTGCAACTTTCATTGATCAAAGTGGTGACGTGTAGCGCCAATAGGATCATCCGGAACCTGTTTCAATTCAAACATAGAATAGATATAAAACTGATACCGACTTTTATTCAGATTGGCCTACACAATGGGAAAGGATTTTTGGTAGTTCTCTGTACAAAGCAATACTTTCCGGCCTTAAAGAAGGACTGGTATATTGCGGTCAGGCACTGATGTCTACCGTGATGTTGGAATAGTTAAAATTTTGGTGCTCTATTTCCTCGACTTATGACCACTGATAGTCTGAGAGAGTTCCGTATATTGGTTTAATCAAGGGCTAAAATCTAATCTGGAAGTCTAACCTTGGTACCCACGTGCTAGAGCACCTTCCCCACCCCTTAATGATCAACGCAGTAGGAGTCTTCTTTGTCTGAGAAGGTAAAAAATCCACATAACCATAGCGGTTATGACCAGACGCTATTTGATAGCACCATTTGCAACTACACCATACGAACCCGCAAACGATTGCTGTAGATTGCTGCGTGGATAAGGAGGAGACTGCCCAACACCTTCTATGTTACAAACCGACGCTAGAAAAAGGTTAATAAAAGTCTTGGGTAGTTATTTCTTTGATAAACTTGATGACTTTAGATTAGTAAATATTTATTAGAAGTTTCTTAAAATTTTTTACCCCGCACTAGTTGCCTTTAGTGGAACCATGAATTTTGGATCTGGAATTGAAATTAGTACCATCAAAGACCTGGCATCTATTTCCTGCCTCAGACGGTTTTATCGTATAAAGCTGGTCAACTAATTGGAGTTCTTATATATATTCCCATACGCAAAAACAATAAATTATAAGAATTAAAATTAGTTGGACTTCCTGGACCTTCTAAGAGTAAATAGACTTTGCAAGACACATGAAATAACTAAGGATGTATACGTGAACTAGTTGATTTTAGCCAAACAGGGCTGAGTAATTTCATGAACTTTGCTTCGAACTTCTTTTCATGGACCTAAGGAAATGCTGAGGAGTATTGTCGTCCCTTTGGCAAACTTAAATTAAGGAATTTTCGTCCATTGCCGCAGGCCTACATGAGTCTTTTCCTGGCGAACTCTGAGTACTCACAAATTGCTTCACGGATTTATCCTCTGAGCGACGGTTTCTGCAATACCACTGCTCTATCATAACTTCGACCCGTCCCTGTCGCCTGGAGCTGTCCGGAGCCTACTGTATAATTATTTTAACTAATTACTTTAACTAGTTCCTAGGCAATTCTTTTCTGTAGTCAGTAAGAAATTAATTGTTTCATATGACTTACAAATAAATAAATAAATAATTTACCTAAGTAAGCGCGCATAAATTTTTACTTTTAGTTTTGAAACGAATGTATTCAGTGCTAACTGGGATGTTTTGGAAAGTCATAATGTAGCACTCAAGGCAATTTCAACAATGAAGAAGCTTTTTTTGGAGTAGAATTAGGTGGGATTATCTTAGCGTTTTCTCAGAGGCTTTCTGACTTTGGTAAGGTTCAGATTGAATCATCATGGTCTAACTACTATCACTCCAGCTTGCTTCAGAGACATCCTTTCCAATTACTTTCAAAACATTTTGTCTCACAATTAGCTGACATCGGATGCAATCGATTTCTAAAGGACGAACACTGAATAACTTACCAGATGACAAATTTTACAACTCTTCTCATTGAAAACCAGTTTCCAATATCTCTACAAAATAGCCATAAACTACGGCTGTAAGTTTACGATCATTAGCCAGGTGTGCTTAGCTGACAATTCGAAACATCTGTAAATTAACTGAAAACAGACATGAAGAAAGTGCTTCCAAATGCCTTCGAATTGGTGTGACAATAAATTTTTTAGGATTTGTAATTTCCACAGCAACTACATAAAACTTACACGTTGGAAATTTCACACCTTTTACGTTTTTATTGCTAAAGGCACATATCTATAACATAACAAGCAGTGAAGTTTTAACACTCGTTACTTGTGTGAACGATCGTAAAAGTCCTTAAAGAACATTAAAAGATTTCAATTGACAATAACTTTTGTTGTTGTTGTTGAATGCATTAAACATACAAAAATATTGAAATGAAATCATAAAATTAACAGCAAAGGATTTTTAATGTCCTTCAACACATTAAGGATGTGGAACGGACATACATACATACCTTCAATATAAATATAATGCTCTTAAGTATGCACGTTTGAACAAGTATGCGTGCGAGTAGATTGACAAGCGAGTGTTTACAATTTTTCTCGATCGACCTTTTGCTAACTTTGACTCTTTTGGCCGTTTTTATTGCTTCTATCTCCCTCTCACAGGATGCTCCACTGTAATTGGTACATTTTTATGATCCTGTCGTATCCTTGTATGCGCTACGATTTGTCAAGGGCTCGATCGGCTGGATGTTACCTTTTTCGCCTTATGTATTTTCTTACAGCGTAATTTTTTAATTGACGTAGCACGGCAATGCCTTATTATGTGTAATTTGGATATTTGTAAGTGCGTCTGGGAATCGTGCAACAGGAAGGAGTACACGGTCCACAGAAATTCCAAGGCGCGCACGGGTGGCAGGAATTTATCGGTTCGCATGGAGTGCAAGGGTTAGATTTGCCGAAAGGTCCACACAGGTTACAGGGAATGCACAGTCCGTAAGGGCCGCTTGGATCACACGCGTTGCCAGTCCGCAAGGAACACAGAGATTGCAAGGACTGCACGGACCACACGGACTGCACAGACCACAAGGACCATATGAATTAGAAGGAAAACAAGGGCTGTCTGGAACACAGGATGCATTAATTATATGGTCCAGAAGACCACAAGCACGGCACGGACCGCATGCATCACACGGGCTGCACGGAGCACAAGGGTCGCATGGATTACATGATCCGGAAAGACCACAAGAGCCGCTGGAGCCACACGGAGCCTATGGTTCACACGGTCTGCAAGGACCACACGGAATACACGGCCTGCAGGGAACGCATGGCCCACACGGACCGCAAGGCCTTCAAGAGCTGCTAGGACCACATGGACCACCAGTGCTGCATGGTCTACAGCCTGCGCTAAAGCTGCAAGAGGAAGCTGGTTTACAAGCTACCAAACTGGTCTGCTGGGGCCGTAATATTTAAAAGGTGGACCGCAACACCTATTTATTCCGTAGATACAACTGGAGCTGTAACCAAAAGCACCCATTTTTTAGTATGGATCTGTTGAAAGAAGTGAGAGCATCTATCAATTGATAAAATTTTGAAGTTCAAAAAGGCAAAATGTGGCATCTTTGACGAAAGGGACTAGAAATAGGCTACAGTTAAGGTAGCTACGATTGTTGTTTGAGGAGCAGAGCGTAGTTTTCAAGAATGTATGCATGTATAAGTGAAATAGATTGAATGCTTTCGGAAATCTTTAGAAAAGAAATCATTTTTTCATTAAGAAAATGCTGGTCAAAATCTAATAATTATTTAAATTTGCTTACATTTTTTTGGTAGGTTAGCACACCTTATCTTACCGCGTACGTTGGCTTAAGAGTTTAACAATACACCGGCTAGGATCAAAGCTTGCATTTTAACAATTAAAGAATTCAACTTTAATTCAATACATACCTACCATTAACCTGTCCATACCTACCATTAACGCCACAGCGGCCGAAAGGAGTTCATACCATTGCATTAAGGCGGAGACGGTCCTAGCTAAAAGAGTTTATATAAAATCTTCGGATCTTACCAGCCGAAACTTTACTAAAGGCTTACCAAATCAGAACATCTTAAATATGGGCACCAATGTTTATCGACATATTTTGGGCGTTTGCTGGTTTTTCCGACAAAAGTTAGCGAATGCGGCCTTTAGGAAGGAATTTCTGTTTTTCCCCAGCCCAACTGGATGTGGGGAACCAGTCGCCGTTATACCATCTTAAGTTTAATCGATTAAGCCCGTCAAGATTTTAATTTAGGCAGAGGTGCCCAACAAATTGCTACCGTTAACAACATATAGGGTTCAATCGATACAAGTAAATACTCGATACTTTTCTTTTGATACCAAGTATTTTTTTACTCGATACCTTTTTGTTCGGTATCGGATAAATGTCGGTTTTTTTTTTTTTTTTCAAATTAATTTTAGTTACTTTTTTATAAAAAAATATAGTTCATTCTGTGACAAAAACCATGTAAATCCAAGTTCCAAATTGTGTACAAAAATTAAAAGAAAATCAAAGTTTCAGCAAAATTAAACACTTTTTATTCAGAATAAAAAGTGTGGCATTTTGATGAAAACGTACTAGCGCAAAAGAGAAGGCACCAGTTGTGCCTTCATTATTATTGGATTAACAAGGGTTTTGTTATGGAATGAACTATATTATTTATAAAAAAAGTGAATAAAACTAATTTGAAAATAAAAATCCGAAACTTATCCATTATGGGTGACCTATACACTCATATGACTCAAAAAATTATAACCAATACTGTTCCTTGGTAATGTGTCACAAATATTAATTAATAATTATTTTGTATTCTTACTAAATAACTTAAATATATGTATACGTTTTCTATACCTGCAACTTTATTGGCTTTTTATTTGATTTTGACACACAATGTTTTAAACCATGATAAGACGTAATCATTCGACCTTTTACAACAAAAAAGGGAAGTATCTCTCGAAAGAGAAGATGAAAACAATTCAAGTAAGTACTCGATACTTTGCCGATACTGAGTAGATATCGATACTTTCAGTCTTTTGAGTTCAAGTACGCATTAGAGTGATACCTTAGTGGTATCGATTGAACCCTAACAACATGAGTCCGGAGTAGTAATCGGTTTATTTTTTCGATGGCATTTGTTTTTCGTTTTAGCTTGTAAGATATGTATTGGGCCTCATACATAAAAAGTGAACTGAAGCTCAGACTAAAGTTTTGCACTGATGGTGTGAGTTCAACCTCAAGAATTTGTACTAAAAATGTTCCTCACATAAGCTCACTTCTTATGCATGAGGGTCATTAATATGAGCCGCATTA